AATATATACACATCGTGTCATCCTTTAGTATTTATAGGACACCCACAATCTACTAGTCATACTCCAACAGAAAAAGAGCCCCCCACAGTCACACACACACAGAAACTGGAGCTCCCTCAGATGATCCCCTGGAGGTTGGGAAGTAGGGGAGATTGCCAAACCAAAGATGGAGAGCTTTTCTCTGTAGATGGTCAATGACCCACAGCAGAAAAATAATTTTAGCTATACTATCATTTATTTTTATTTTTTTTGTATCATTTGTAACAGGAAAAAAAGTTAAAGAAAACAACCTAAATTACCCCAAATTGACATCTCGTTAAAAATTAAGGTCAGGGTAAAACAAGAAGCAACTATACACATAGGGTTATACCTCATAGTTAAAGGTATTAACATGAGCCGGGCACCAGTGGCTCACACCTGTAATCCTTGCTACTCAGGAGATAGAAATCAGGAGGATTGTGATTCGAAGCCAGCATGGGCAAATCATTTGTGAGACTCTATTTCAAAAATGCCCAAAATAAAAAAGGGCTGATGGAGTGGTTCAAGTGGTAGAGCACCTGCCTTGCAAGTTTGAGGCCTTGAGTTCAAACCCCAGTACCACGAAAAAATAAACAAACAAATCCAATTTCCTCAAGGGGTAGAGGCAGGCAGATGGTGAGTTCCAGGCCAGCCTGAACTTAATTTTGAGAACCTTGTTTCAAAAAAAAAAAAAAAAAAAAAAAAAAACCAAAACCAAGGACCAGGCATGGTGGTATATGCCTGTAATCCTCACAAAGTGAAGTAGGAAGATCTCAGTCTAGGCTTCCTAGGCAAAAGCACAAGACCCTATCTGAAAAACAAGGCTCAAGAGGTAGAGCACTTGCTTAGCAAACTTGAGGTTCTGAGTTCAATCTCCAGGACCAAAAGAAAAAACAAAATAAAAAAGCCACTTTACATTGGTAAGGTCATTTTAAGAACACAAACACACACAATTTTATTCAAAGAATATGTAAATATTCCTTTAAATGTAGATTTAAGGGACTACTAGCTCAGTGTTTTGGGTTTTGTTGTTGTTTTGGTGGTACTGGGGTTTGAACTCATGCTTGCTAGGCAGGTGCTCTACCACTTGAACCATTCTGCCAGCTCTTTTTTGTGTTGGGTATTTTCAAGATAGTGTCTCTTGAACTTTTTGCCCAGGCTGGATTTGAACCTTGAAACTTGATCCTCCTGACCTCTGCCTCCTGGACTTTGTCTAGGTTTTTATTCTTTTTATTTTATTTATTTTTTTGTGGCATTGGAGTTTGAACTCAGGGCCTCACACTTGTTAGGCAGGTGCTCCTAGTACCTAGTACTTAATCTACTCCACCAGTCCTTTTTTTTTTTTTTTTTTTTTTTCAGTACTGGAGCTTGAACTCAGGGCTTTCACCTTGAGCCACTCCACCAGCCCTATTTTTGTGAAGGGTTTTTCAAGATAAGGTTTCACAGAACTATTTGCTAGGGCTGGCTTTGAACCGCGATCCTCCTGATCTCTGCCTCCTGAGTAGCTAGGATTACAGGCGTAAGCCACTGGCACTTAGCCTGCCAGTCCTTTTTTGTGATGAGTTTTTTTGAGGTAGGATCTCCAGAACTATTTGCCTGGGGCTGGTTTCGAACCACAATCTTCCTGATCTCTACCTCTCCTGAGTAGCTAGGATTACAGACATGAGCCGCTGGCGCTGGGTCATTTTCGAGATAGGGTCTCAGAGAACTATTTGCCTGAGGCTGGCTTTGAACTGCAATCCTCCTGATTTCTGCCTTCTAAGCAGCTAGGATTACAGGCATGAGCACTGGCGCCCTGCTAGGTTTTTATTCTTAAGCCTTAAAAGCCAACAAAACACTTGTTAGGCAGGTGCTCCTAGTACCTAGTTTAATCTACTCCCAGTCCTTTTTTTTTTTTTTTTTTTTTTTTCAGTACTGGAGCTTGAACTCAGGCTTTTCACCTTGAGCCACTCCACCAGCCTATTTTTGTGAAGGGTTTTTCAAGATAAGGTTTCACAGAATATTTGCTAGGGCTGGCTTTGAACCGGATCCTCCTGATCTCTGCCTCCTGAGTAGCTAGGATTACAGGCGTAAGCCACTGGCACTTAGTGATGTGAGTTTTTTTGAGGTAGGATCTCCAGAACTATTTGCCTGGGGCTGGTTGAACCACAATCTTCCTGATCTTACTCCTGAGTAGCTAGGATTACAGACATGAGCCGCTGGCGCTGGGTCATTTTCGAGATAGGGTCTCAGAGAACTATTTGCCTGAGGCTGGCTTTGAACTGCAATCCTCCTGATTTCTGCTTCTAGCAGCTAGGATTACAGGCATGAGCCACTGGCGCCTGCTAGGTTTTATTCTTAAGCCCTTAAAAGCCAACAACAAACACTGGCCTGAGCTTTTGGGAGTGTCTCTCTCTCTCTCTCTCTCTCTCTCTCTCTCTCTCTCTCTTTCCCTCCCTCCTCTCCCTCTCCCTCTCCCTTTCTCTCCATTTGGCTGGTAAGATGTAGCTTGGGTCAGTGACAAAACTTGGCATATCCTCAGTGTGCCAAAGGAGCAGTGGGGACTCTAGAATAGGTAAGAGTCCCTTCTGGAAGGAGGTATTACAAGATAGTTAGAGGGGAACAGGTGGCAGGGGTACTGTCCAAGCTTGGAGAATTTCACTAAAGCCAAGAGTTGAAGTCAAAGTCAGGAGATACTGTGGAACTGGGAAAACTGGTCTGGTCCAGGTTGCTGTGAGATGCAGAAGTCCTTAAAGACCCAAATCAGGAGCTGTGAGTTCACTGTAAGCAAAACCAGCACCAGTCTTGGGTGGGAGAGTTACCAGAGAGGCAGTAGCTCTGGGTGGGCAAGAGTGGGGAGCCACCATGGCACGGATATAACAGTGAGCAGATGGAGGTCCTGACAGGGCTCCCTGAGCAGGCAGGAGAGGAGGCATGGTGACCAAGGCTTCCCTTTGGTGACTCAGATGTGCTGGTGCTGTGACAGAAACTGTGTGTGGGGGGAGAGAGATCACCTAACCGGGCTTCCTCCTGACCTGTGGCACCTTTAAGGTTCCTCAGAATAATTTGAAAACTTCTAGTAGAGTCAGAGTCCTAAGTCCTTCATTTTGCAAGTAAACTGAGGCACAAAGAAGGAAAGGTTGCTTACAGTGATGGTTGGTGTCAGAATCTGAACTTGAATTTGTGTCTCTGCCCAGAGGCTGTGTGCAGACTGGGTTGGGGTAACAGCTGGCCATGGAGCAGGCATTTAAGACCCTGGGAACCTGGCTGTCCTGGTGCAGCTCATCACCTCTGCCTAAGGGGATAAGGGGACAAAAGAAGGTGAGGTGGCTGGTGCTCCAGGGGATGGGAGGCAGACAGTCTTGGCTAAAACTAAATTTGGGATTATCAGAGGTTTCACTTGGCTAGGATTTCTATCCCTCAGCTATGCTCTCTCTCTCTCTCTCTTTTCTCTCTCTCACATACACACCACACACACACACACACACACAACTACAGAGGGACCTGAGCCTAGTAGACTGGGATAGGTGTGAGTGTCCAGCAATGGCCTAGCAGGTGTCCCAGGCGTGTCTTGGAAATCTCTCTACAGGAACAGCACTCACCACAAACCCAATTCTAGAGGTGCAAGATGCTCCTATAACCACTCGGTGATAATATCTCACCTTCTCTGGGCTTCAGTTTTCCTAAGGAAAAATAAGTTTTCGTTTTTGTTTTCTTTCCCCTCAAAGTTCCTCCAGCTCCAGAGCCAGTGAACCTCACACACAAGGATTCTGGGGTCTATCTCTATTATTGTTCACATCTAGCACCGTTGACTTCACTAGGTCCTTGTGTGCAAACTGAAGACTGGCCAACCAATCTAGCCAAGAACTTTGGCCTAGGCTGTGTGGAGTTACCTTAGTGTTCAGGCATGATGGGGGTGACATTCCCCCAGTACTCTGCAAACTGTCAGAAGTTGGGAGCAGAAAGGCTAGAGGACTGGGTTGCCCAGCTCCAGCTCAGAGTATCACGCTCTAGAAGGAGGGAGAGAGAGGAGGGGCCCCACCACTGGTGAGGTCATGGGAAAGCAGCTTGGCGCTTGACACCTGGGGAAACCCGTTTCCAGGCTGCTTCCCACGCTAGTTCTCCTGGGAACCAGCTAAGCCAAGCCTCAAGCAGGAGGTAGCCCCACGCCTGCCCCCATCAATTCCATCACATGGTCTCATCTGGTCCAGCCCCACTCTTCAATCAAGCCTGAATACCCAACCAACCATCCAGGTTTCTGGACCTTGAGAAGGGTTGTGAACGGGAAGCAGGCTGACAGCTCCAGGAACAGGACAGACAGCAGCTTCAGAAACATTAAGGTTTTATTTGCACACTGACTGTTTTGCCTTCTAGGATGTGACTTTGGAGAAGGGATGACCCCAACCCTCCTTTCCTCCTTCAGGCTTTAATTTGCAGCTCCTCCCCTCCCTTGCTGGCCTTGACTCTCACTTCCTGCCCTACTGCTGGCCCAGCCAGTTTGGGCAGTGCCTAGGGAGCCCGAGACCCAGATCTTCCCAGGGACCAGCCCGCCTCCTTAGCCTTGGGGTTGAGGGCAGTCCAGGTGTCAATCTGCTGCAGAGCTGCCATCTCGGCTCTCCCTTCTTTGCCTTCCTCCTTTCAGGCTCAACTCTCTGATTGTCTCCAGTCCACAGTTCCAGGACACTTTCTGCTCCTTCTCTCAGCCTCTCACTGGCTCTGTCTTATTCACTCACCAACCTCTCTCAAATCTCTCCACCTTCCAGCCCTCCAAAATGCAAGCTGTTCCTGGCTCTTACTCAACCGTGCATGGAGGGGCTGAGGACACCAAGGGGTCTAATTCAGCACTGTGGCTGATGGTAAGAAACTAGGAATGGATCCCCGGTGCCAGAGATGATTGACACTGTTAGACATCTCATGAAAATCAAAGTGCTAGGATTCCCGTGAGCCGTGACAAAGAATCCAAATCAGAGCCTCCTCTTCCAGCCTAGGCTCACCCTGGCTTTTCAAAGTGCGCCCATGTCCAGAGTCAGTAGGGAACTGAGGCCCATGGGTGGCAGGCCTGTCAGTAAGCCAAGAGTAGGTTCCAGAAGTCTCCGACCTCCTGCTACCATCACTACATCTCCACAGCTGCTCAAACAAACAGAAGAACTTCTCCCGACAGCGGGAGAGCGTGCGCAGCCTTGGCATTCAGTTTCTTCTCCAGCGAGCTTTGTGCTCAATGGCACTGAGAATGGCGAGTCAAACACTCCTTCAAGTTCTTCTGCGTCAAGCGAGCACTCGAGGTAGCAGCAGGCCCGGATCTTCTCCGCCAGACCCTGGGCTTGAGGTTGGGGCACCGGACCTTCCGGCCCTGGTCGCAGCTGAATCAATACAATTGACATCGTCCTCAGGTCAGCCTGGGTGCCCACCAGCAGCACGGGTGCCTGAGGGTTGTGAGTGCGGATCTCGGGCAGCCATTTCTCCGTGATGTTTTGGAAAGAGCTGGGCTGCACCACGCTGAAGCAGGCCAGGAAGACATCGGTATCGGGGTAGCAGAGGGAGCGAAGCCGGTCAAAGTCCTCCTGGGGTGGGAAGGCCAGATTAGCAGGGTTATTCCCTACCACATGGAGGAGGAGGAACAGCTTCTCACTTGAGGTTGGAGACCCAAGACTCCTAGAGCCCATGGCCTTCTCCATTCCTGCTTGATCCGGCGTTCTCCCAGCCTCCACCCACCCACCTCCCGGGGACCAGTAGAGGCTGCGCCCAGCTTCTCACCTGCCCGGCTGTGTCCCAGAGCTCGATGCGGACGGGGGCTCCATCCACGAGGACTTGCACTGCAGGGACCGGGAGGGGAAAGGCTGAGTTAGGCAGAGCGTCCCGGGTCCCTCCCGGCCTCACCAGCGCCACCGCGGGGTCTGCTCCCGCCTCCACCCCGGGGTCTTCCGTGCCCTCCCCCCACGACGCCGGTCCCGGCTCCCGAGTTGCACCCCCCTCCTCCAGCCACGCCGCCGCTGGGGCCGTTGAACGAACCAGAGAAGGTGTCCAGCGCCGTGGGCCGGTAGCACGCGGGGTACCCGTTGCAGGTGTAGCTCACGATGAGGCTGCTCTTGCCCACGGCGCCATCGCCCACCAGCACGCACTTGATGCCCAGCTCCGGGGTCGCGCTGCGCCGCCGCGGAGGAGGGGTCGGGGTGCGGAGCGGGGGCGGCTCGGCCTCGCTCAGCTCCCGCGGCGGCATGGCCCGCTCCCGGGGCAGCAGAGGGGCCAGTCCGGACCGGGCTCCGCTGCGTTCGGGGAAGCGGGTTCACTCACTACCTCCGACTGATTGCCTGTCCTCTCCGGCTCGTCCGCCAGACGCTACCCGCTACCGCTATATATAGGGCCCCGCCACCTCATCTGCATGTCCGAGCGGCCGGGCCCCGCCACCGGCCTGGACCCGGCCCAGCCGCAGCGCACCCCACGAGGCCGGGGTATCGCAACCCCGGGATGACAGGGAGGCGAGTTGTGTTACCACGCAGGGGCAAGCACAAGAATCGCCATCTGACTATACCGAGATGTCACCGACACCCACGATTTATTGTTAGGAGAGAGAAGCAAATTGCAGAACTCGTAATACATTATGTTCTAATTAAGCAAACATTCAGCTTAAACCTTTGTCAAAAAAAACCCCGTATATATATATGAGTATTAAAAATCCATATAATAATTTTATTAATAATAAGTGTTTTTTTAATACATACATGGGGCTGGGGGTATGGTCAGTGGCAGTTTGCCTAGCGTTCGTGAGGCACTGGTTCCTTGCCCAATGCTTCGAAAAAAATTAAGTATACAGATGATGAGAGGAAGAGAAACACAAGTGTGAACACAGCAGTTATTAATATTCTTCCTCCCTTTCCTGTAGACTCAGCCTGAAGCTCCCTTTGAACACCTTCGCTCCCCACTGCTGAAGAAATGCAGGGTGCTGAGAAGCTAGCGGGAGGGTCTTGAAGGACAGTTCCCCATTTGAATATTTTATAAATCCCCAAGTACCTAGTATTATCCTCATTAATAGCTACAGCACATGATACATGAAGATGCTGTTCTGGGCCACCCACTGTCCTCACTCTCCAAGGAGCTTGCAGAATGAGACAAGATCTCCCAGGTAGCTCTAGAAAGGACACCTAGAAAGCAAGCAGAGTAGCTCAATGCTAATTTAGTCTTTTTATTGCAGCCACCCAGTGTGAACCAGGTCAGGAATCCTTTCCCTGACCCCAAGGCAGTCTTTCATCTCGCCTGAACAAAATATCATCAAAAACACCTTCCCATAGGGAATCAGTCATTCATGAGTTTGGGGAAGAGAGAGTGTTGGAAGGAGGGGAGGTGGTGACCATTAAAGAGATAACTCAGAGTTGCTAGTATAGAAATCCATAAATCAGCAAGTGCAGTGGTGGACTTCTATAATTCCAGCACATGGGAGGCTGAGGCAGGAGGATCTTGAGTTTGAGGTGAGTTTGTCTACATTGTGAGACCCTGTCTCAAAGAAACAAAAATGAATCCATAAATTCAAATCTCAAATCAAGACAACTAAAAGGCTGCAACTGGACATTAACCTTGTCTACCAGAAATGGTACCGCCCCAGGATGCACTGCTACTTCCCAAAGTCCGCCTGCTCCACTCCCTCCATCCAAACGGCCGGGATGCTGATAATCCTAACTGTAGCCCCAGAACCCTCAAAACTGCTCAGACACGTGCACTTAAGTTATTCATCGAACAAGTGAAAGGGACTTTGCATTCTTCTGCCACTGTATCACCGAGAAAGTTTGAAAGCTTTTCTTTTTGCTTTCCTGGCAAGGGAGGGAGATTTTAAAAGACTGGAACATCAGAAGATCACACCTGTCCAGTGTTCCCAGTTTTTCAGCTCACTAGTTGTGTGACTCCAATAAAATCACCTATCTCAGAGCTATAAAATGATAGGTGAAGCGTCTTTTTAAAAAACTTATTTATTTTTTAGGTGAAGCATCTTTTATCTCTGGAATAATCTGTGATTCAGGGATCTAGAGAAGCTGTCCAAGCCTAGGGGTCTCTCTCTCTCTCTCTCTCTCTCTCTCTCTCTCATTTTTACCATGCTTTTGTCCTTTTACCTGGGTTTTGATAATAGCTTTGTTGTAACTAATTGAGAGTAATTCTGTTTATTCCTTTCTGCAGGTAGGAGAGGGATAAGTAAGACACAGATGGGGGAGATGTCTGCTGGACATGAGTAAAAGTCCTGTCTTGGCCTGAGATAGTCTGTCCTTCTCTGGCCTCATGGGCAGGACACTTCTGACCCAGGTCCCTCTGTCTGAGCTGGTTTAGGTATAGTCTTGTCAGCAAGAGGGGGAGGGAGGAGACAACCTGGGGAGTTGGTGAGTCACCTATTTCTCAGCTAAGGACTTGCATTTCTGGCTGCCACTGCTGGGAAAGTCCTCTGGTAAGGGTGGGTTGGGTCTTATCCTGCCCACCTGCCATATCTGCCCCAACTTCCACACATTTGCTGGGATTAAAACTTGGCCCTGACATTCTGCCATGGAGAACTGGAGGATTCTAAAAGTGGCACCACAAACATACAAGATGAGCCTGAATGTCTTGTGTACAGAAATGAAGTTACACACAGAAAGACAACACAATCGTAAAATGTAGGTAGTAAGCTGTGTGGACACAGAAGTCAACTGAAAGAGCTTCCAATGGTCAAAATGGGACAATTTTAACAACAAATTGGAACAGTATTGGGCTCAAGTATTGGCTCAAGTGGTAGAGCACTTGCCTAGCAAGCCCCTGAGTTCAGATCCCAGCACAGTAAAAACAAACAGCTGGCCCTGGTGGCTCACGCCTGTAATCCTAGCTACTCAGAAGGCAGAGATCAGGAGGATTGCTCAAAGCCTGGGTAAATAGTTCTCAAGATCCTATCTCAAAAAAAAAATTACAAAAAAAGGGCTAGTGGAGTGGCTCAAGCCAGTTTAGCAAGCATGCCGCCAAAAAAAAAAAAGTAATGCTGCATTATAATCCAAGGTATAAAATAAATATTCCTAAGCCATACTGGAATGATTGAATACATAAATAAGTGAAGGCCAATAGACAACTCTCCTGTGCAGAAAAACTCCAAATAATGTCTTCAGACACTCCGCTGTCAGGAAGATGGACATAGATCCGTCCTCTTTCAGTCTGGGCTGCAGAATGACTTCCTTCAAAAGAATGCAGTAAGGAAAGACTGGGGGAAAGGAACTTTACAGTGGAGGATGCTGACAGACATTCCCTTGGCCAGATGATCAAGATTAAAGATCAGCCATGATAAATCAAGAGAATATGATATCCTCCCTGTATGTGTGATGAGAATTTAACATGGTATGCCAGGTGGGAACCTGGATTAGAAAAAGAGCATCCAGTAAAAACTAAGAAAATCTCAACTAAACCTAGATTTTTGTTAAAAGTGATGTATGGATACTGATTCACTGATTCTGACAAATGTGCCAGACTGGTGTAAGATGTGCAGGATGCAGGGACCTGCACAGAGGTACATGAAAACACCTGCGATGCTTTCTCAGGTTTTCTATTAATTTAAGATAAACAGTTTATTAAAACATCCAAGACAACAACAACTAAACCATAGCCCTGAAATGAATCATGGTGGTAACAACCTTCTGCTTCCAGAATGTCTGATACACTCGTGGCTTTGGAACAGTAAAAGTGTGGAGTTTGTTTAGACTTCTGTGGGGGAAACTGGTGTGTGTGTGTGTGTGTGTGTGTGCGCGCGCGCGTGTGCTTATTCCTGTTTTATTGTTGAGTATACTGAGGTCCAGAGGGTTGGTCTCAGAATTAGGGACTTACCCCAAATTCAAAGAAGCTAGTAGGAAGTGTCAGTTAGCCCCAGAACTAGCAAGCCACAGGTCTACCCTCCTGCCTGGTCAAGTTGTTATTAGGCATTTTCGTTAAACCCTTATCTTATTTAAATTTACTACAAACATTTGGGTATCTATAGGGAAACCACAACTCAGTAAGAGTAAGCCTAAGGAAACCCACCTACTCTGTGGTCGTCATGGTTTTCCACTCCAAAAAAGGGATAACACCAGTTTTGAGGAAGGGTTTATTCCAAAAGTGCCACAAAGAAATTCATGCATGTGAATCCACTTTGCAGTCTTTTTCTATTTCTTCTGCGTAGTACCCCAGTCAGGCCTGCTGCTTAGAGTAAGCTGTGACTCATAAGCACAGGTCAGAAAGCTTTGAAATAAAAGAAGATGCAAGAAAGAGAATTTTATGGCTGCATCTATTTGCCAACATCCTAGCGATGACAACAAAATAATGCAATCATTTGAGTTCTCCAGTGAACTGGGTCACCAGAAGTTTTTCTCCAGGAACGTACTGTGTCCTAGCAGGTAAGTGGGCACACTCAGTGGTCTGGGTTGGGTTGACCTCAAGGTACTCCTAGCTAGTCCTCCAGTCCCCAGGGTCCACATATCTTCCATGGCCACTCTGAGCTTCTGCCACGCCCTTCCCCTTCCCACACTGAGCCTTAGCCTCCATTTCTCTTTCTCTCCCCTAGCTACTCCCAATGGCTATGACACTCCTACCTCCAGTCCCATCTCCAGTCCCACACCCAGAATATCTCTTTGTGCCTAGAGTTCGCCCTCAAGTTCTGGCCAGTATATAATTAATTTGTGTAATACTGGATTTTGAACTCAGGGCCTACACCTTGAGCTACTCCACCAGCTCTTTTTTGTGATGGGGTTTTTGAGATAGGGTCTCTTGAACCATTTGCCCAGGCTGGCTTTGAACCTCAACCCTCCTGATCTCTGCCTCCTGAGTAGCTGGGATGATAGGTGTGAGTCACCAATGCCCAGCAACTCAGTCCTTTCTTCCAAGTACTTGACTCTCTCCTTTCCTTTTGGTGTCCTTGTCGCAATAATCATCTCCTACCTGCCTCCCTGTCTTCATTTCTAGTGCACCCTAGTGTCCTAAGAAATCAGATTTATTCTGTCACTTACTCAAAAACCTGAGTCCCTGCTGGCCAGAGGAGCGTGCATGGTCGGTCCTCACCTGCCAGTGCACACCCTCCAAGCCCAACCATGCACCTCCAGGATTGAAGTGAGCAGCGCTGACAAAGATTCAGAGAAGTACTAAGGACGGTCAATGATACAGAATTATTTGTAAACAGTCTGAACCCAAGAATTTAGAGAAAGTGTAGTTAGAATAAGAGGACCCAGGCGAACCCTGTGTACTGACATGTGG